CCCATATTTCTGGCAGATGGGTTCCTTTCCCTGGGGCTGCAGGTGCTTGTTTGCTTGCTTGCTTTCTAAATCTGATCTTTGTATCTGTGAGGAGACTCACAGGGTAAATTCATACATTAATCCGGAGGTTCTCTTCCTGGCCTGTTATGGAAAAATGAATGTGTTTGGGCACACTTTCTAGGTTTTTGGATTAATCTCAGAATGTTTGTATGTACAGCAGGCCATTTTCCTGTTACAGCTGGTTTCGTTTTGGCTAACTTCTTTCGTAGCCCAGTAGTTTTGTCACTGACCCAAGTTAGGAGAAATGCATTCATGGCTGACAGTTTCTGGCTATTTATGGAGTCTGGCTATTTTTTTCCCCCATAACATCCTACTTTGCATTACATCCTTATGCTGGAGGAGAGGCTTCCTGGCATGCTAGCCACTTTGTGAATGCAAGGGAACAAACTGCAGTTGCATTATTGGAGAGGTTGGACATTTTGTAGTCTCTGTAGCAACCTTCATTTTCTGCCTGTCTTGCTTTAGCCTAATTAGCCACCATGTAGATCAGAGCAGGAGGCCATCAGGAAACATGGAGTGGTTGCTTCAAAGCCTTGTGCACTGTAGTGGCTTCAAAGGATTGCAGATGACTGATGCTCTGGATTCTGCTCTCTTACAGCCTGGAGCAAGGATTGGGTCCTTAAGGTCCCACATTTGCTGCAAATTGACCTACCCATCAAGCTATCCTTTGTACAACTAATTTACTGCCTTTTCTGTTACCTAATTCAAAGTGGAAACTACAACAGAAGATAATTCTCTAGAGCTGGTGTGTCCCTATAAGCACAACTAGTGAATCTGTCATCGCTGTGTAAGAAGCCAAAGTTAGCCTGGAGCATTGTTGTTTTATGTAACAGAGGGGAAATGGCTCTGGTTCAGGTGATCCAGAAGCCTGAGGAGCCAGACTATCCCGTGATATTGGCTTGATTAGCTGTAAATAATCCCAGCTAACTGCCCTGTTCTGTGTCTTTGCCCTCTGGTGTTTTCTCAGTGAGGGGAGGGGGAAGGACCTGTTTCCTAGCTGCTAGGATATCTCCTGTATTTATGGATGTGACTACCTGCGCCATGAACTGTGCGGAACTGGTTTTGGCACGTGTATGGAATGAAGTATGGAGGGAGAGAGCAGGTTTATGAATGCTGGTACAGAAGCATTTGGATAACTAACTCAGCCATTAGGTACAAGCATGTAAATCCTTAGAGATGTTTTCTGTGGGAAGTACTGGGTAATCGTCTCCTCAGGCACACAAGAGACACATGGTTAGATGCTGGCTTCTGCCTGAATTGCACATCAGGAATTCAGGTGTTGTTTTTGAGTCACCTGGAATAATTTATTCAGTATCACAAGGATTTAAATCTAGTCTTACTGCCATGGCAACACCATCATCACTAGGCCGTTTTTACTAGCTCGCTCATCTGTCTCTACTGACAAGCTGGCGCGGTACAGCGAGGGCTCTTTCAGTCCTGCAGGAACAACTGCCAAATAGCAGTGGGAGCAGGAGCAGACACTGACCCAAGTCACAGAGGGTACCCCAGGATAGCGCCGTCACTCTGTTGCAGGTACTCTCATGGGAGCATCCTAAGCCTTGCATCTTAGCGAACCTTTCCCATAGCTGCTCCATGTGAAAGGTCTTTGATCTGTGAATGAGCCCAACACATGGTGCTTGCTCACTCTACGTTAACAGCAGAGATGTTATTTTTAGCTCCTGAATTTTTTCTCCTTCAGAGCTGAAAGACCTTTCGTCCTTAAGACAGGCAACTGTTCATGACATAGCCTCTTTGGGACAACATGCTACATAAGGCTAACACCTCTATTGGGAACAATTTTTTTGTAAAATGGGTAAGTGGCTTTTTAAATAGCCATTAAAAAATCTAAATAAAGTACTTGTGTTTTAAAAAGAACTGTTTTCTTTGGAACATGTAATTTACAGAACTCACTGCAATAATCCTTGATTTAGAACAATTACTGCAGTAAAGTACTTGCTTTTTTTTCCTCTTTAAAAACAAAACCAAACCCCAAACCAAAACCCAGACAGGTTTCCAGCAAAGGCTGGGGTAATTGACTGAAATGGAAACATAGCTGAGTCTTGCAAAACTCCAGTATACAGTTGCTGTTGTCTAAGAGGTCTTTCCTCCGGCAATCTGAGAGTGCTTCCTTGCCTGGTCACTTGCTTTGCTTTTTTCAAACTGTATTGGGTTTGCATGTCAGGATTTTGGTAGCAGTGGGGCTACAGGGGTGATTTCTGTGAGGAGCTGCTAGAAGCTTTCCCCATGTCCCATAGAGCCAACACCAGCCGGCTCCAAGACGGACCCACTGCTGGCCGAGCCCGAGCCTGAGCCCATCAGCGATGGTGGTGGCACCTCTGGGATAACGTAGTGCAGAAGAGGGGGAAAACCCCTGCGTAACAGCAACTGCAGCCAGAGAGAGGAGGAGGTGCTCCAGGTGCCAGAGCAGAGATTCCCCTGCAGCCTTTGGTGATGACCATGGTGAGGCAGGCTCTCCCCTCAGCCCATGGAGGTCCACAGTGGAGCTGTTATATACCCACCTGCAGCCCCTGGAGGACCCCACACCAGAGCAGGTGGATGCCTGAAGGAGGCTGTGACCTTGTGGGAAACTCGTGCTGGAGCAGGCTCCTGGCAGGGCCAAGAGCCCACGCTGCAACAGGTTTGCTGGCAGGAGTTGTGACCCTGTGGGAAGGACCCACGCTGGAGCAGTCTGTTCCTGAAGGACTGCACCCCGTGGAAGGGACCCACACTGGAGCAGAGCATGAAGAACTGTGGCCCGTGGGAAGGACTCACATCGGAGAAGTTTGTGGAGGACTGTCGTCCGTGGGAGGGACTCCACGCTGGAGCAGGGGAAGAGTGTGAGTCCTCCCCTGAGGAGGAAGGAGCGTCAGAAACAACAGGTGATGGACTGACAGCAACCCCCATTCCCCGTCCCCCTGCCTTCTGGGGGGGGAGGAGGTAGAGAAATCAGGAGTAAAGTTAAGCCTGGGAATAAAGGCGGGTTGGCGGGGAAGGTGTGTTTAAGATTTGGTTTTATTTCTCATTACCCTACTCTGATTTAGTTTGAGTCAGTTTTGTCTGTGGTGGTAATTGGTGAATGATCTCTCCCTGTCCTTATGTCGACTCATGAGCCTTTCGTTATATTTTCTCTCCCCTGCCCAGCTGAGGAGGGGAGTGACAGAGCGGCTTTGATGGGCACCTGGCATCCAGGCAGGGTCAACCCACCACATTTATGTAATCACTGGTCGCTAGGAGTAGGTACTGCAAGAACTAAGATGCTGGTTACATTCTTGGGGTTGTGTGCAGTGCATGCTGGTTTAAGAGGAAGCTGTTTTATAACATTTTTCATTATGAAATTTCTTACGCACCAGAGTTTAAGGGCCAGTTATAAACAGTCTAATCACACAGCTTCCTTGGGCAGTAACTCGCCTATGTCATTTCTTGTAGCGCAAGCTTGACTCAGTACAGTCTCATGTGAAACACGATTCAGGATAGAATACAAGGCATGCTGATTTGATGTACAGTTCATAATATTAATTTCGCAGTGGTGCTCACAAACCCTTGGAATAGTTTATTTACGGTTCCAGTGTTGGTTTTTTTTATCCTTTTGAAGTCCTTTAGTAGAAGTCAGGCAGCTGTGTCTGTTTTTCAAAGCTATGGAATAGCAGTCTCTGAACAAAAGGGGAAAGGTGTCAGAGAAGTTGCTGGTACTGTTTGGGGCTTGAAAAACTGAAACGCGTTTTCAGTTTTGAAGTGGTGCAGAGGAGCTACTTGTTATTGCAGGGACGTCTCACGGGCACCACTGGCAGTAGGCAGGCCATGCTGACTCTCTGGATCCGACACCATGAAACCGGGCTCTCCACAGCTGATCCTGCATCCATCTCCAGTCCCTGACTGCGAGATAATTTATAAAATGTAACTGTAGACTCCTACCCCTTGTGTGGCCATGGGCTGCATCCAGAAAGAAGGGAATCCATATTCCTAATCGTCAGCTTAAAACCATTGCTGAGTTCATGAAGATTTTAGTAGGAAACTGAAGATAGAGGGAAGGATCCCAGACCCTGGTACTTCCACTTGGGCCAAATCTAGCTGAGAAGCATAAGGGTCCACCGAGCCTGCCCATTCTTTATATCTGGTATGAAAGCAAGAGACTTCTACTCTCTTCAGGAGTAAAAAGAAGGTCATCTTCCTAAATTACTTTATGTCAGGTGAGCAGACAGACACACTGTATTTCCTACAAGGGAAGAATGAGCCCAAGTCTTCAGCTTTAGAAGTGACTGTGCCTTCCTGGGCTTGCTTTTACCTTCGAGGGACTCTGGCGCAAGCCAGTCTCATTTTTTTTTAAGCCAGACAATTGACTTTAGTTTTATTACAAAGCTTTTATTAAAAAACAAATGCTCAGCACATTAACTCAAACTGGAATGACAAAAAAAAAAAAAAAATCGGTTGACAGTATTTTTGGCAAAGGCTGTGCCTTACTATTTTAAAAAATGGGTACATCAATGCTCATTTCAACAACTGGCATAAAATCCCACTAACAGGCTAACAAAAACAGATACAAATACAGAACAATTGAAGTAATAATTCAAGTGCTGGGCTTTTTACAAGAAGGGGAATGGGTGAGAAGGAGAACTCACTGCAGTCAGATTTGCTGGATGTATTGCTTATGTTTACAGAGTAGATGATGCAAGACTGATGTGTCTACTGACCAGCTGACTGTTGTTACATTTATTTAGTTCTACAGGACACTGTATTATATAGACCGAGGCCACTATTTGTTACAAATAGTTTAACAAAAAAGCCACCTTTTTCCATACAGGTTTTTCCTCTGGCAGAAAACAAAAACAACAAAAAAACAAACAAACAAACAAACAAAAAAAAACCCAAAAAAATCAAACCCAAAGAAAACAAAACAAAACCAAAAAAAACCCCACAAAAAAAAAAAAAAAAAAAAACAAAAAAGCAAAAAAACAAAACCAAAACAAACCCCTTTTATTTAAAAAGTATTTCAGATTTCTGACACATGTTTAAAAGCTCATACCTAGTAAAATATACACCAAAGAAATTACAGACTAAAAGTTAAAATATAAAAGCATTCAAGTTTCTTAAAAAAGCTAAAACCAAAGTTGATCCTGTCGCACCATTAAATAAAAAGAAGGTTGAGTGTGTTATCCTGGTCCAGGCACATTCCATTCCTTGATGTGCTGTATGGGGCAGCTGTGGTCTACGTTATTCTGTTGGCTGATACAGGCAGAGACAGCCATGCTACTTTGTTTGCTGACTCGATATGGACACAGATGAGACGGGGGCTTAAAGAGTGCAAGGCAGAGGTGGAGTGAAGACAAAAGCTGCTCTGCTGACCCAGGAGCTCATTTGCTCTATTTATATCGGGGCTGGACCTCGTGATAGTGAAGGATTTTGGCAGTGATTGTCTTTATGATTCAGTGTCTCTAGCAGTGACATCAGGGTGAATGACATCCTAGACAGACTCCTTGGGGGTGGTCTGTGTGGATGAAGGACACACCGAGGGTTTAACAAGCTTCCATCTCCAGAAGGGGTCCTGGTGTCGCCGCCTTTGCTTTGCAAGTTGAGAAAGCATTTCTTTTCCCACCTACAGGGAGGAGAGAGAGAGAGTGATAAAAGACTACATGAAGCCTTTTTCTTTTTTTTTTTCTTTTTTTTAAAATCCTTCAGAGAAGCTGTTGATGGGTCATTGTAACTCTATGATACAACTGTAATAGCAGAATGCACGTTTGCAATGTGAAAGTTAAGTGCAGAGTAGTGCTACTTGCTCTTGCCTGAAGTTTGCAAGACTATTCATGAAGAGTACTTTGGATTGTAAGTAGATGTCCACATCAACTAGAAAGGTGGGGGTTTAAGCTATTTAGACACTCAACATATTACAGAAGTAATTCCCTTTTGTAGTGGATTTCATTTATCTACAACATTTGACCCAGATATCTGTTACAAAACTAGACATCCTCAGGCTTTGTTACTACAGTGGTTGAGGTCAATTAAACCTCTACTTCAGAGCCTCAAGCTCTACTCCCTGCAGAAACGAAGAAATGCTGTCTTCTGTAAGCAGCTGGGTAGAGGAATGTGGTGGCTGAGGCTTGTGTGAACACTGACCCTACCATGCATCCACAGGACTGGGGAGGATTCGTTCTGCTCTTCAGCAGGGAAGGGAACATCTTCCAGTTGTCTAAGAGCCATGGGCGGCTTACCTAGCAGTAAGTTCACCAGGGTCTTGGAAGGATTTATGTTCTTACTGCACGTGAAAAGGCCAACAGTGCAAGCCTTACAGAGATTGCTCATCCGGGGAGGAAGAGTTCATCATTAAATCGCTGGGTTACATCAACTGACTTACGCAATTGCTAACTCAACCATCACCCCTGCCCTTCTGACCCAGACAACTGGGTTGTAACAGGGACTCCACCCAAAGACTGGCTAATGAGTCAGGCGTTTTTCCATAGACCAACACATGCTCTCTCCAGTGATGGTCTCAGGATCATTGGTATATCAAAAAATCTACATTAACCTCTGTGCCTCTAGGTACTACTCGGTTGCCAAGCAAGTAGAGGGTTCAATGAGCAGAGCTTTTAAGAATGACCAAAATTAGCAGAACAGTGCAGTTTGGTGGAGGTGAATGAATTTTCACCAGAGGAAAAAAAAAAGAAAAAAACCAAACAAAATGCTTAGTCATACAAAGAAGGTACACTGCCAGCACCTTGAATTACACAAGGCATGACAGACCAAGTTTATGAAGAAATGCTTTAAACCACAAGTCAAACTTATGTTAGACTAATCATAATAGGTAGACTGCTTGAGCCTGTAGAAGCCACAAGCAGAATTAATCAGCAAATACGATAGCAGCAGTATTTAAGCCAGGGCCATTTATAACTGGGCACCTACCTCTCATCTGTTTCAGCTTCTGTGTAAGCCATTACAACACAAAGCATTTTGTCTGTCCTGATTGAGTACAGCTCCTGAATAAGGAGTTACACAGGCTAATATATACCAGGGTAGAAAGCCTCCGAAACTCATTTTAGACCCTTTGATTTTAGTGAGCAGAAGCTGAGACCCCAAAATCTTACTGAGCAAGTTGACTCCTCATCAGAGGCCACCCACGTGACCATTGTTTTGGTGGAAGGGAGAGGACACTGAAGAAATTTAGCTGCAGACTAAGGAAGGTAGAAAGAGCAAGCACAGATTTATACCAAACTGTCCTGTATAGCTTTAATTTGAAGGACATTCTCCTGTCCCCTGAATACCACCATCCCTGATACATAATAAATAATTTTCACCTGCTGCTGGTAGCCACGAAAGGACATTTAAAGCCACTGTGTCCTCTTGAACAGGACAGCTGAAAGTCCACTGGCAAACCAGCGGTTTCAACAGCGGTGGTCTGTATTGTGACTAATTCAGTTCCTATTTCCTCGTAAAACCAACCCAAGTCCCAACTAAAAAAAGCCTTCTGAGCTTCCTGCCTTTTTTTTTTTTTATTTTTTATAAAGTAGCACAGTGCTCCGTAACACATGCAGATCAAAGAGCTACGAAGGGCTCTACCTTTCCAAGGAGCACGAAAGAGAGGCCAAGCAAACAGCAGAGGAACACTGGGGAGAGCACCCTGCAGCTTTATATTTATTTTGTGCCTTTTCATCCCAGATTTTCAAAGGTTTGGTCCAGGTTGCTCTTCCTGGGAAGGTTTTCCTCTCAGTCTTACATGAAAACATTCAGCTTCCTGTTGAGGAATGGCCTTGAGGCGCCAGGCCAGTAGTTCACAGCAGTCTGATACAAGTGCCGTGATTCAGAGCTACTCCCCATTAGCAGCCAGGAATGTCTACTTCACCGAAGGAAATGAAATGCTCTTCTGTTGAGATGGTTCCCTGCCTCCTCCCCCCTTCCCTTACCAGCAAGCTTTCTTTGAAGTCAGGAGGTTAAAATAACGACCGCGGCCTTGCTGTGGCCCTCAGCTTTTTCAAACACCGGCCATCGCTTCTTTCTCAATCCAAGCGCAGCTTTCCTAGTGCCTGCCTCCTTTCCATAGCCCCTCTTGGCGCCTAATTATCCCCCGCTCCAATTGAGAGGCTGCAGATACTACTGTAATTCTGCAAGGGGTCAGGCGCAGTGAAGCCCCAAATATTCTTATTTCTAAGTCAATACTGCAGGACAGCAAATTACATGGTAGCTATCCTGAAGACGGCATCTAGAACCCAGCCTTTCCTCTGCTGCATGTTAAGGCTACACACTGGAAATTGCTTCTACTGCTGATAAACTAAATAATACTTAAATAACACGGATGACGATGGTGCTGCCTTACAGATATAAAACAGGTCAAATCAGGATTCTTTTCAAGAAACCACAGGCATGTGCTAAGGAGACTGAAGACTTCCCACATCTAAGGCTTCACTGGGGGGCTGTAGCTGAAGTCTCGCCAAGCGAGGCATGCCCTAGCAAAGCCCAATCCACAAGTGAAGTCGGTGCAATCAAAGACTGCAATTACAGCTCCCTGGCTGTGGTTAGGCTTCAAAGAAAATGCTGCAAGTCACATTTTACATATGTGAAGTCTTGAGCTTGAGCCACAATAGGAGGCACTGTCTGTGCCATTTGCAGTGTACATCTGACTGCAGAAGGAAAAAAAAAAAAAAAAAGCCACCTCGAGTAAGAAACAGAAATAAAATTCAACAATAATTCAGTGTAAAAAGAAAACCCTTACTACTGAAGTGATAAAACTATTTCAGGAATCACTACAGTAAAACTAAAGCCTCCTAACAAGCCTGGGCTCAGTGGCGGAGAGCAAGAGCATCAGAGGGGCATGAGAAGTCCTCCCCATGCTTGGGAATGGCAGATGGATTGAAGGGTGGGTCCGAAGGGCCTTGTGCTCCTCCTCTAGTCTCTAAGTCATCTCCATTTTGATAGAACAAGGGAGAGGATTATGCAGCTTTGTCCAGGTCATGCTAATCAGAATAGGTTACAGAAGAGAGTCAACAGTGTCTGGGTTGGTACAGAAGTACAGAGTAAAAGAGATTGCTAACCCTTCACAGAAAGCAAGAGAAGGGAAAAATTTTAAACCAGGTGCTCTTTTTCTACACCTTTCCCCACCACTGGTTATTTTCATACAGTTGTAAGAAGAGACAGGATGACGTATTATGTCAGTTATATGTATTTAAAAAAAAAAAAAAAGTCAGTTTCCAAACCTGGCTTTTAATCCAGTACTTCAAACAACATGGCAAATTCAGGGACCCGGCAGCTGAAACTGCCATTTTCTTTTGAAGTCCAAAATGAACATGTTCAGCTTACTGCCGGGGCTTATCCAATACTCCAGAAACTTGGGTATGCAAAACCAGGTCATTATTTATCGGAAAGGTTCATGCTGTTTGTGAAGCCCCTTTGTATTTTCTTTAGCAGCAGAGCCGGAGAGAGTTTCAGGCGCAAGCAGATAGATGCCAGCGCTGCAGTCTGCTCCTCTTCCTGCCCAGCTGTGCCATGGTTTGTGGGGTTAGCCTAAACCGGAGCCTTGAAATGTTCTGGGCAAACAAAAACAAACACTCCACAACCTTTGTTGTTTCTAAACAACAAAAAAAAAACCACCTCCCAACAAAACCCCAGTCATTTTAGTAATCCAATTTGCTGCAGGGTCCCACAAGCTGTTGCAGCACATGGATGGAGGGACCTACGGGAGACAGGAAAAAGCCTTCTCTGCAAGAGCTGGATACCAGCAGGCAGCAGAGGAAACCTTTTAAGCTGCCTTTGTTGCCAAAGGAATTATATAAAACTGTACCCTAAAACTGTAACAGATACTGCCTTGTTGAAGTTATGCCGGTGGTAGTTGTGCTTTGTTTTGGTTTTTCCCCCGCCTCCCCCCTCCCTGTCCTCTTATTTTAGCCTGAACTAACCTTAGTTAGGTGAACAGCAGGAATACCTCCCCCAGCTCCATGAGTCAGAGACCTCTTCCAGAGGAGGCTAGCGTCAGCACAGGGGATGCCCAGGTATTTTAGGGCTCCCACTTTGTGCAGCTGAAGTCAGTGATGCCAAAGCAGGTGTGGCTCTTATCAAAGGCCCCCAGTGTAGGCAGCATGAAACTAGAAGCTCTATCACTGCGCTACAATCTTTAAAATGATCCTACTGGAAGACTCACGACATGTTTTTCCTGTTGGGGGTGGGAAGGGATAGAGGTTCCATGTTTATAATAAAAAACAGATTATCTCTAGACAGACATCTCTAGCGGCTTCTTAAAGAAGAATAATATACTAAAAGTGATGTGCAAGGGAGGAAGAAATAGGCTTGTCCCCTTTTTGTATCTTTATGGCATATAATAAATATTCAGAAGACTATTTTTAAAATTATTTGTTTTACAGACTGAGAGCTGTGAAGGAAGATGCATCTGTTCCGAAGTAGCGATTTCAGTGCCCCTAGTTTCTACCTGCTGTAACATAAAAGAAATGAGGTACTGGTAAAGTAATAAGTAAAAATACTTTTCAAAGGAGAAAAATAACATAGGTAAAGTTTCTTTTCTGCCACAATTAAACATAGGTTAGGATTTACACTGTACTTTGAAAGACAATCTCGACATTGAAATCTTCCAGCACATGGAGTAATTTAAATAGTTGC